GAGGTGCACGACCAGCACCGTGACCACTTGCGTCACGTGCCGGTCGTAATTACGTCATTGTCTGGTGCGCGCCTCACGCCGGCTTCACCACTGCAAGTGTGAACTAAGTTTACATGTCACACAAACCACAGATTGCTTCAGGCTGTGCTTACAGGGTCTAACGTCCTCCTCTAGCTTTGCAGAAAGCAGAAGTTCATCTGCAGTTTCATAATGTTGCACAGTTTTTCCAGGTGTTTGTCTAACTTCACTGTGATAGATGGATTGGTTAAATGAGAGAGAGGTTATGGGTGAGGTGTGTCTCAGGCGGTGTAGGTGGATACCTCAACAGGACCTGCAAAGGAACAAGCAGGTGGGGATAATGGATGGGTGGAAAGAGGCTTAACTCTGTTACGTTGATGTGCTGTTAATGCATGAGAGCGGCACAAAGACAAACTGCTGTAATATGTGTTATTCCTCCATCAGCTGTAGTGACCAAAACGCATCACTGCCCGACATTATGAATCCACATTTAATGTATTCAGCCTCATAGTTCTGCTTTGGAGCTTGTCTCCTGCATCACTTTCTCATTTCAATAACCGATCCATTTAGTTTCACTGCATCTGAAGGAACGTTAGCTGGCACGTTAGCTAGCACGTTAGCTAGAACGTTAGCTAGCATAAATGGTGCTCTGTTGGAAATACTATGTCTTATTTATGTGAACTCTTGAGCACATTTGGTTATTAAATGACTTGATTGAGTCAGATACAGCAGTATGGAGGCATCAGCACTCATGTTTCTCTGGTCGTATTCTCAGGTTTTTCTATCCAGAGACCAATCTCTCCTTTAAAATCTCTCAATGCAATCAATAATTCCCATGTACTGGAAATATTATAACAAAAATGCTATTTACACAAATTCTATGAACTAGACCTGGCTATTCCAACAAGTATACTTTTCTCTAATAATCGATTAATCATCAGAAAACAGTAAAAAAAAATTAATTTCCCAGAGCCGCTTGTTTTGTCTGACCAACAGTCCATAACTCATTCACATATGAATGTAAAACCGAATGCTCACATGAGAAGCTGATGACGAGAAGTCGTCTACATTGATGATAACAAGCACACACCAGCTCACATGTCCCAGGAAGTCTGAATAGATTAGAACTCTAGTGACTGAAATCAGAGTTTAATTATCAAAATTCTTGCCAATTAATTGAGTGTGGATTGATTGTATTAATAAACTAATGGTTTCTGCTCTAGTTGTATCTGTGTTAACCATGAACAACATGTGATTCCCTTGATCTGTGTGATGTGGTTGAATATGAATATAAAGCTGAATCTCTTTCGCTCCGCGTGCGGGCCTCTCTTCAGGCCCACCAGCAGTGCAGGAAGGCAGACCGTCTGCTCGTGGCGGGGAAGTATGAAGAGGCCATCTCCTGCCACGGAGCAGCTGCAGGTGAGTTCACTGCCGTTCACCTTTGAGGTGCCTGTCCCTCACAGTTAACAGGGGACTGCAGTTCCTACTCAGTTTGAACACCCCACAATCATTGTGTCCATTCCAGTCCAGTGCTGGAGTACAGAACAGTGTGTCTGTCCTAATAATGTGACTGCACTGAATGCAATAAGTTGCACGTCTCATAGAATTGATGTGAACTGCTCCAGCATTCACTGTGAGAGCTAAAGTATGTGTTGTAGTCCTCACCTGTCTGTCTCTGTCTCCCCCAGATCTGTTGACCGATGCAATGAAGACAACAGAGTGTGAGCAGGTGAGACATTCCAGCTTTTAGGAGGACAAGAATTATTATTATTGTTATTATTAACATAACATATCAGAATCTTCTTGGCCCATCTTTCTAATTACACAACACAAGCTGTTGACCTGACGTTTAGCTCGCTAGCTTACTTGTAGAACAACGCTTATCATGGAAAACATGAACGTTGAATCTAATGGAATAACGTAAGATTTTAAATACAAATGTGATTATTATTGCATGAACAGAAGTCAGGAAATATTGATATTTTGAGCCAGGCTAAAAGCTGTTAATATGTCACCTAATTAGGTTTTAATAAGTTGTCATGCGAGAGATGACAATATGTGGTCAGTTTTTCCATATATCCCCTGTTAGTATGTCTGTGATCAGTACAGTTTGATGTATAAGTGTGAACGTGGTGAGTGCTGTGTCCGGTGTTGATGCTCTGTGTCTGTAGGCTCGTCTCTCCATGGAGCTGCAGAGGGACAGTCATATCAAACAGCAGCGGCTGATCCAAGAGCGCTGGAAGAGAGAGGCTCGACGCGAGGCCACAAAGGCCCGACCTGGCCAGGTGCAGCACTCCAGCAGCCCGGCCAGCCTCACCCAAACCCAGCCCACGGGCCAGCTCCAGCCCCACGGTTCCCCAGGCCTCCCAGCGGCCAAGGGTGCCGGAACCAGGGAGAGAGAGTACGACACCTTGCTCTATCAGCTGCAGACTCGGCAGACTGGAGGCTGCCAGCCTGTGACTCCACCGTGCCCCGGATCTAAGACCACCAAAGACGACAAAACTCGCCTGGAAGAACAACAGACCACCATAAAGGACCTGCGGCGCCTGGTCGACCAGCTGATGGACGAAAACGAGCGGCTGGCGTCCGAGAACAAGCAGCTGCAATCGGAAAACGGCCGGCTGCGAGTCGAGGCGGTGGACTTCGTGGAGCGCTCGGAGCTCTGGGTGCTCCCACAAGCAGGCGGCGGCCAGGAGAGGAAGAGCACGGGGAAGGGGAAGGAGATCGCAATCCCCCAGCTGCCCCCGCTGGAGATGCCGGCTCAGGAAGATCTGGGTCTGGACGACCTGCCTCCTCTGGAGCTGCCAGAGGACATCCAGAACGAACTGCAGGAGCTACTGGACAGGGATAAACTGTGATGAGAGACATGTCTTACGCACAAACACACACAACCAGTCTTGAGTCTGGATGCAAAACATGTTTGACATCTGAAACCCACAGGCTCCATCTGATCAGACCTCTGCTCACGTTCAGGGTGGACAGAGCTGTGATGGAACTTCCTCTGATAAGAATGAAGCTAATCTCAGTGATATGCCGCTAACACAACGCAATCTAAGATACGGGAGTCGTTCGCCCACAGCGTCAGTTGGAACATTGGTGAGATTGGGATGGAAGTTTTTTAATTTTCATGTTTTTTAATTTAACAGAATGCTTTCTTCTTTTTTTTTGTCTGGAAGTAGCAATTAAACAACTCTGAACAACGTAGGCAGCATATTTTCATTGTTGCGGAGCTAAATGAAAGTGCTCTTTATCTATGAGCCAGTTCTTTACATGATACTTAGTGCAGATGTTAGCTCAGTACAGCATCCCTCTAAGCTGCTGCTGTACTGAGCAGAATGCTGTGAGTGTGTCAGCTGAGGGAGGAGCGCTGGAGGCTCATGATCATCTGTTGGGTATTTCATTTGGGAAACATTAAATAAACAACAATATTACATTGTTTTATTATTACATTGCTGAATTTCTTTTTGGGGGGGATACACAAATGTGATTTTGTATAACTTTTTCTTTACTTCTGCATCTGTTTTCTTTTTGACTCAATTGGAAAGAAAGAAGAAGGAAAGCATGAATGTGAGGTGACAACACACTATTGTCTGAAACAGCTGAACTTTCTTCTTTAGATTAGTGTTTGAAGTAGAATTCGTTCAGGAGATAATCGTGTAATCAGAGAATTTTGGCCCCACAGCAGAATAGTTCTGTTTCAGAACACTGGATATGCTCCACGAGCCGTTTGGAGTCTGTTTATGGTTATTATTATTGTTATTATTGTTGTTCTCAGCAGCCTCAGCACCAACACACTCGCCTGATGTTACACCGACATACAAACTGCACAGCTTGCATGAGGCTGAGTGGAAGGGACTAAATGTAGAATTCATGTGGATGAACAGCTGCTTCTGTTGGCAGAGCTCAGCACCAACATCAGGGCCATGTGCAGTGTGATGCAGTCACATATTCATATACATATACAGTACCTTTACATATACGCTGTTGAAGAAAAACTACCCTGCGGCATCTTTTTACTTTCTCTTAGCGCACTAAAAGAAAGTAGGGATTTGTTTTTTCAGCACTGTTTCTGATTTTCTTGCAGATTGTTTTTTTTGTGTAACAACAGCAATACACACACAGTGATATTAAAGGGATGGTTTGGGTGTTTTGAAGTGGAGTTGTATGAGGTACTTCTCCGTAGTCAGGGTATTACTGCAGTAGATGGAGTTTGGAGAACCAGCGAAGCAATGTACTGCTGTGGACGTGTTTTAGAGACCTTAAAGAATCAATATCAGTTTAAGTGAACGCTTTATTTAGAATATTTCCACAGGTTGACTTTGCAGACAGACGGCTCACTCTGACGGGGAACTGAAGCCGTTGTCTATGCTCTCCTCAAAGCCACAGGACTCCTTTGACAAAAACTGATTTTACCTCACAGAACACAGGAGTCGCTGGTCTACTGCGGCCTCCATCGGCTAGTTTATGTTGTTGTGTGACTTTGGTGTTTTAAAGGGTTCGTACGGATCCACCAAAGTCACAATAACACAGACTAGCCGATGGAGGCTGCAGTAGACCAGCGACTCCTGTGTTCTGCAAGGTTTAAGGGTTCTTTGAAGAGAGCATGGATGAATAGAACGGCTTCAGTTGGCTGACAGTGAGGTAAAGAGGTAAAATATTCGAAATAAAGTCTACACTTAAACTGATATAGATTTCTTTAGGTGTCTGACATACGTTTTGATGGCACAAAGGAAAGACAAGGACTTGAGGTGCTTGCAGTCTGAATGTGGCATGTGCATGCACACGCCATCACACAAGGGATTTGTACAAACTCATGGACTCGCACGTGGAGCGGTGTACCGGAACATAAAGATATGCAGAACTGGCTTCAAACAGGACACTGTGCTGCGTTCACGACCTATGCAAGACACGATCGATCCACATTCTCTACAACAGGATACTGAAATAGTGCTGACCTCAGCGTCCAGCTGGTAAATACCAAAACACACATTTCTTTGCTCAGGTCAGCATTGTGACTGAGCCTCATGTGGACGACTGTAGAAACAATGTTTTCTTTTTAAATAAAGCCAATTTAGGCAAATGATCATCGTAATACCTCATTTGTGATCGCAGCTCTTCATAGCTGTGACAGGACATAATGTCTTTAACATACACAGTGAGTGTTGAGTGTCAAAACGGTACACGAGGAGCTACTGAGCTCTACAGAAATCTACATTCATGGACTCCTGAATTTGAATATGTGAACAATTGTTGATATTATCTTTGTCATGGGACGTGAACACATCATTAGCACGAAGACAGACACTTCATTCAGCTAAAGGGAGTCACTTCTCGCTGATAATCCATGGCCAGAGAACAGAAAGAGAGCTTAAAATGAATGAATCACTGTAGCCGAAACAGCTTCAGCAGCCCTCCAAACTGTTCCTGCTCTACTAACCCAACCCGTGCCTTGGACACCTCTCTGTACTGTGGGGGCGGTCCCATCTCTGGATCCTCAGACGGATAGATGCAGTGGCCTTTTGACACGCTGTCTGACAGGACGGTGAACTAAACTGTCCAGCAGACAGATGAACAGAAAGCAACAGCTCTAAAGTCATCTCAGCTCTTGCCACAGAAGCCCACATGTGTATCTCTAAGATGCTCATTTATCAGAATAGGTATCAGATGTGGTTTTGTCACAGGCCTGTTTTAACCATGCTGTGCCAAGCCAGGATCATGTGTTCCCAATGGGGTAACCATTACTACTGTTGCCCTGTGGTTGCTCCGGGGGCGAAGTAGACCAGGGCCAACCTGTGAGGAAGCTCTGCTCCTACATACAGCAGATATCACCGTTTACTGACCATGAGCTATGTGGGGCTGAGAAGATCACTTCTTTCTTAACTCCACACCTTGATGAACACTTGTTTGATGACTGTAATGATGTGCGTGTTGCGTATGACGTGTGATTTAAAACTGATGTGTTTCTGTTTGTGAAAGTTCCTCGTGTGTTACTTGCTACCTCCCACCCTCGGGCAGCCCTTTGGGGGAGAACAACAATCCACCACCAACCCAAAATCGACCACAGAAAAGACACCTTTTAAAACCACCAGATCCACAGGATTTATTATCATAGAACAAACACACGAGGTAAAACAGCATTGAGATCAGCCTCCCCACACCAGAGGCCTCCCTCCCTTCTGCTGCTGGTTCAGGAGCTTTTCAGCACTTCCTTCCCGATCCTGGTGCACCTCGTTGAGCACCGCAGTCCACCTGGACAGAGACACTAGACGGGGAGAAAAGGGACAACAGCACAGGGAAGATATACAGCCGTGTGTGTGAGAGAGTATGAGGGTTTACTGATACAGGGGTATCTATACCTCCCTGCTGTAACCAATGTTTTGGCTCAGAGTTCATATTTTATGCTGTTGTATGTTGCCACCAAAGACGTATTGAGGTTTCATACTCAGCCCTACTTGTCACGGAGTAGGCAATGGAAATATAAAGCTCATCGGAAGCCCTTTAAATTTATAATAATAAAACCTCCATGCAGATTCAGGTCTAATGAATATGACCCTGATATCAGTCTGAATCTTGTACTCTCATTGTACAGTCTGTCTCTGCCTTTATTCTGCCATCTACCCACCAGCCTGTGAAGGAAGCAATTTGCTTCTGTAAATGGCCCGCAACCATAAAGGTTTGGCCACCTCTGGGTGGATAGATAGAGGTGTCCTAGACAGATGCCTGAACTTCCTCCACTGACTCCTTTCAAAATAAAGGAGCACTGTGGGTAACCAACCACGAGTGCTGACAACATTTGTTATCAAAGTGGGTGGGGGTTATCTCCTTGACTACAATTGATGGAGAAATGTGTTCTTTTATTTAAACTTATTTTCAGTAACATTTTGGTGGGGCCATACAATGTTCATATAAGAACATTTGATGATGCAATCCATAGCATAGATATATCACACTGAACCATATTCTCACAACTGCGTGTGAGTGAGAGTGCTGAAACACAGCGCCTGCTGTGACAATTGTATCACCACCAGCAGGGCTGACAAAATACCAGGCTAATAATACCACCTAAAATCCCACAATGAAGATCTGACAACATATCTTACCAACATATAGAACCACCAAAGGACAATGTTAAAGATCTCTCAACATCAAATAGCTGACTCATCGCGAGCAACGAAAAGTACATTTGTTATCTGTTGAGCAACCTCGTGCTTGTAAGCATTATACATGCAATCCAAAAGTTTGTTTTGAATAGTGGCTGAAGTTCCCTTAAAATAGGGATGAGCATCATAATGGTTCCTTAGTCTGGAGTCTTCCTCGTACAGTCTAACCAGCCGGCAGACTCGACATGTCCACGCAAGGCATCGGCTTTCCACAATGGAAAATTCTTTCAAATCCCAGTGAGGCAGCAAAGACATTCGAAGAAGACATTTTAAGCCAGCATGCAACAGGAAAGTCATTACATCTTACCATGGATCTTGAGGACAATGCAGAGGACAGGGCAGTCCTTTCTTTTTATAAGAGGGCTAATGTTGAGTGGGCTTGCCCCTTGACATGCACACTCAAGGGTAAATTGGTTACACACACAAAACTAAAGATAAAAAATGATCATATATTCATTTAACTGATGTCTGTTCTGTGTATTTTGCTTTTCCAGGAGATCCAGCAATCGGTGATGGCGTGACTCGCCATTTCTTTGCAAGCATCACGTCCAAACCTCAGTATGGTTTTGAGATGAATTTTGGTAAGTGAATATTCACTTCGGCTGCTGGCCGGTTGTCAGCTATCAGGCTCTGTGTTTGGTTTGCACCAGTTCCAGGCTGACCACAGATCAGTCTCTACTTACCCAGAGAATACCTAAAACCTTAAAGAACAGCTGCTGTGGCCCTGTAGGTTTCTACAGGATTACCCAAAGTATTCAGTGGCTGATTGATATTTCCTTACTAATTCTGTATGAAAGTTTGAATATACGTATATGTCCTTCACATTCTGCACTATCGATGTTCTTTCACGTTTCTCGTTTAATTGAAGTACCAGGAGGAACTCTTCTTTTTGTGGGGGAACAAGATCATCTGATTCCCTCCACTTGGCGGTACCTTTTTGGAGAGTGACTTCTTTGTTGTTGCTGGCGGAATGATTGGTCGTTCATTCGTCCATAGTGGGCCATGCCTTGGAGGACTCAGCCCAGCTATCCTACATGTGCTCTTTGGTGGATCCCCAGAAGAAGCCCTGATAGATATTAAGGACTGTGCTGACCCTGATATCCGTGAGACAGTCAAAGTGGTACAATACATTTTTGCAGTTAGATTTTAATGATAAAAATTCGGGCCAAGGACAATAAAAGGAATATCTGATGTCAGAATTTTTTTCAGATATTTATAATACCACAATCACATCATTTACAAATGTAAACCAGCAGGGAGTGCTAAAGCAATATTA